CCTGCTCGCTATGAACATCTTATCCGTGAGTAATGTCAGTAAACGTCTGGTTCATGTCACTGTATGAGGTGCAGTGAGGGAAGCTTTATGCCTGGGCTACTTCATCTTGTCCACAACAGCAAAGATAAAACGTACCTGACCAGTTAGAACCATCTCCATTTGTCAAATACTGTGCCCGTTTTCATTCAACTGTGGATAGCAGGGCCATTTTATGCCATTTCTTATGCGATGCATATAAATATTGGTTTTACATTCCATTTAATGAGCTGCAGATGTAAGGGATGCCGATAGGTGAATAATATTAATTTACACAAATACAGGCAGACCTCGTTTAACACTCAAGATGCGTTCCTGGAGAAGTGAGCGCAAATAAAATCGCCGATAAATGGGGTCATTATACCATTGAATATATGGAGATGCATTCCTAATAGCGTTATTTCTTTCATACGAGCAATATAGGAGGGATTATTGGGGTATTGGTAATAGCAATCATAATAATTCATACATGATTATGAAATATTATTAAACCTTATTTCATTCTTAAAATAATTTATTATAACATCAGTCGTATGTAGTGCACTCCTACAAGGCAACGGCGGGAGACGAGGTTGGAGGAACTGCTGTGCTTCCAACACAACACTTTATTTTGCCAGGTAAGGCCCACAGCTTAAAAGGCTCTGGTTCTTTCGGTAACTCCCCCCCCAGCCTCACGTCCTCTTCCCCTAGCGCTCACACAGCCCCCCCGACCGCACAGCGCCCCCCCCTCTATCTCTCCCCCCTTGCCCCCCCCCCTTTCTTACTTATATAACCTCTTGCCACGGCAGCTCTCTCGCCTACTTCAGCATTTTCTTGCTGTGGTTGTTTCACCTGATGAAGATCGCTTGTGTTGCGATCGAAACGTCGTGATTTGTTTTAATTTATTTTCTACCTACGTGACTTTACCGAAAGAACCAAAGAGTATGGATTCCTGCAGTCACGAAAGTTTCAAATCAAGCTTATATCGTTATTTTTGAGAAGCGACGTGGCCACAAATTATAGCCCAGTGAAATGGCTTATCACGTGGACATTTATAGCAGCCAAATACTCTAAAAGCATCTTTTTTTTACGTGGAGGGAAAAACCGGAGGACCAGGTAAAAAAAAGCCACGCTACCACAGGGAGAGACACACGCAAACTACAAATATGAAGGTGACAGGGTTGCGGTCGAACCCACATCTCGCCACCCTCTAATCCGGGTCATTCTCAGAGAAGAGCTCCAGGACGTCCGTGATATTAGCCATGCCCTCAGTCTAAACTTGTGTGGTGACGTTTCGTTTAGGCGGAGACAGAGAGCAACTCTTATATCTTGGTCTGGTGAGCTCTCACCTGGCTAAACAAATAAAATCGATTTGTTAAAACGTAATCATGACAATCGAATCGATGTCCCTATACTCGCCGGGCTGAACAAGTTCGCGTAAGAGCGTGCTCTCGACTGTCATTGGCGAGGAGCTATGGAACATGATCTAATTAGAAGGTGAAACCATTCAAATCTGATTGGTCGCCAGGGTACATTTGAATGAGCATGGGGGGAATAAAACAATAATATTTATTTACACTGTATTGGAGGAATCCGATGAGCTATAAAGCTCTTTTTTGTTTTTACAGATGAGGAGTCGGTTGGAAGACCGTTGAGAGAAATGAAGGATTGGTGGGAGTCGGGGAAATTCCAGAAAGGACGGGGGAAGATGATAAAAGGTGCGGTGTAGTTCTGGACCATGTCTGAACGGAGTTACACATGCAGTGCTGAGGATGTAATAAAGTCCAAGTTCAACACATAGCAGTTTAAGAATGTTTCGCCAAACTCTTTGGCGTGTTCGGGCAGGCTCACCCACGTTGCCAGTTGTGCCCGGGGTCGACATTCCACATCTTTGACGTGGACCATCAGCAAATCCGCTGCATGCCTATTCAAGTACCAGCTGTGTTCAGTTAGGGCTCACCCTGGTGACACTTCACCAATACTAGAGGGATTGTGGGCTTGCAAAGCACCCACGGATTTACAAAGTGAACTATGCCTCATTATGCAGGTATACACATGCATGGACGTATGTTTAAGCAGACAAAATAAACCGCATCACACAAAAATGCATATTACATTTACTGTGCTTTCAAACGGACGAGTAACAAAAGTATTATTCTGCATGTCTTTAGAGCCGATATTTGCTTAATACCGAATGGACATGGGCCCATGTTGTTTTCTTCAAACCACGAGAAAATCAGAGTTCATTACAGTTGCCAAAGTGCAGAATGCTCGAATGGAAATCTAAATAAGCCCTTTCAACCTACTTATTTATATTACGTTCACGTCTCTCAAAGTGCCTTATGTCACCGTGAAAATAAACCCCACCCCGTGTGTACATTACCGCACAAATACTTTAAAGTTTCACCACTCCAAATTTTCGCTCTGTATGGTGACTTCTTGAGAGAAACTTTAAGGTGTATATGTGTATTCGTTAGCCTGGTGAATACATATTTGGCTTAAAACACAACACGGTTTGGGGTGGAGAACCGTGGGTCGGTGGTTCTCGCATCAGTGGCAGATCTCAACCAACCCGCACTGTGGCGGCCAGCATGGTCAAGTAGTCAAACAAGCCGCATTACCGGCAGTCGATTTACAAAGGGCTGTACAAAAAGAGTCTGAAGTAACAATACACATTTCATTAGCTCACCACACATACTCTGAATGCCAATGGTAAATGCCACGACAGGTGTATGTGGGTAGTGGACTGCCGATTATTATTACACTTGTTGAAATCGCTTTATCAAGAGGATCATGCAACGTTTTCACAGGAAGGGGCAATTTGTTGCTATGTGTAATCCCAATCCAGAAATTTGCAGGTATTTTTTTGGGCAGAAGGATGTTTGGACATTTTATGTTATTTTATATTCATACTAGCTTTACTACCCGGCTTCGCCCGGGTACTTGGATTCACCACGCCCGGCCGCCTTTGTCTCCCCAGTGACGATGCTCACACACGACACCAGTTACTCGTTTGAGGCTGAGTCGACCTAGGGGAGGCCCAGGTCCGGTTCAAATAATCGTCACCGGTGGTGGCCGTGAGTGGGAATCGAACTCGGGTCGCCGGGTTCGTAGCGTGGCGCGCTAACCACGACACTACAATGCGTTACGCTTCCGTTGGACGATTTGTGTGAGGCGCGCCGATCCGCTGTACGGTTTTAGTGAGGCGTGCCGATCTGTTGTAGGGTTTGTGTGAGGCGTGCCGATCTGTTGTAGGGTTTGTGTGAGGCGTGCCGATCTGGTGTAGGGTTTTAGTGAGGCGCGCCGATCCGTTGTAGGGTTTTAGTGATGCGCGCCGATCCGTTGTAGGGTTTTAGTGAGGCGCGCCGATCCCCCGCGATACAATAATACTGTGTAATCGCTATAATTTTATGATTTACCGAGCCTATAATAGTAATTGCACACAATGGGGTGGCGGGGGAGTGAGTGAAGAGGGTTACAACACATTAATAAATAAGGCGATGTAAACCGAATAACGTTGTTTATGAATGTTTGCGAAAGCGTACGTGTTACAAATTGACTAACTTTACTTCATAACCAGGCTACAGTGTACATGATAGACTGGCAGTACACCCACCCAGCTGAATAAGCAGGCTACAGTCGACATTATAGACGGCTAGTACGCTCAACCAGCTTAATGACTATTTGTACAAAGAACATTTAAAGAATCGATTATAATAACCAGGCTACAGTCTACATTATAGACTGCCAGTACACCCACTCAGCTTCATAAGGAGGCTAGAGTCTACATGATAGAGTGGCAGTACGCTCACCGAGCTTAATAAGCAGGCTACAGTCTACATTATAGACTGGCAGTACGCTCACCCAGCTTAAAGACTATTTGTAGTCACCATTTAAAGAATAGATTCTTGGCGCGTTGGGTTTAAAAGTAATATTAATTGCACACAGTGTGGTGGGGGGGGGGAGTGAAGAGTACGCGAAACTTTGATGAATTTACCTCAGAGTAGCGTGGTGGGTGTCGAGGCCTAGTAGCGTGCAGAGCCTCCGGCCTCGCCTAAATTGCCCACCCGGCAGAGGCAGGGTACGGGTGGCGTTCCTCCCCCCCCCCCCGCGCTACAATAATACTGTGTAATCGCTATTATTTTATTATGTACGGAGCCTATAATAGTAATTGCACACATTGGGGTGGGAGGGGAGTGAAGAGGACGTGAAACTGTGATGAATGTACGTCAGAGTCGCGTGTTAATGCGTGCGCCTATTTTTAACGGGAATAAAAAATGGCGTCCACCCCTTGGCGAAGGCGTCGCTAGGCGTTGCCAGGGGCAACCGCCATCCAATGAAAGCGGCGAAGGCATCGCTACCCGTTGCAACCGGCGTCCAATGAAAGTGCGTATGGTCCGGCGACACACAGACAGACAGATTCACGATTTTATATATATAGATAGCACCTGAAACTCAAGGCATTTTACGAAGTTTAAAGGAGGTAACATTAGTAATTTCGATGGCAAGGAGGCGAGCAAGGAATGAGTGACCATGACAGAGGGCACGTGGGGGTCACGAAAGGGCTATAGGGGAGGGACGGGATGGAGTGGAGGGACGAGGAAGGGAATGGGCCACGGAGAAGAGGTGAAGCTTGGAGAGAGCAACAAAAGCAGGCTAAGTATGGGGTCCGCTTAATGTACAGGGGCAGTTTATTCCAGTGGAAGGGCGCAAGGAAGGAGAAATATATATTTTTAGGTATGAGAGGAAACTGAGAACCCGAGGAAACCCATGTTCAACACACATGGCTAAAAATCACAAAATCAAGTATTCTAAATGTCTTCACTCCTGCAATTGCATTGGCAAATTGTGATGCTTCTCAATGACCACTGGGAGGCGATGTTAAATAGAGCACAAACATTATTCTGCAAAATATTGATGCAGTACAGTACTATGTTTAAGTAAAAGAATCCATAACCATATATTGATTACTAACTCAGTTTAACTATAGTTTCATCGTATACATTTATTTTAGACATGCAGCACTGTGTTCAGTAAACTTACTGGTATTACAGTTTGCTTATAAAAAACATCCTACATTGTAAAATATATTGTAACTTTATTTAAAAACATCATGGAAAAGGTCATAATTAAGAGTGCATTGTGTAAACAATAAAATTACACCGGGCCACGCATAACAGGTCTTGTTTGTTTCAAGTATCATGTACCAATAATGCAAGTGTAGCATGGACAAATTACCTGCATTAATGAAGAATCATTTATCAGAAGAGACTAGAGTCTGTAAATGTTATTTATAGGGTATATTGGGTAGCTGAAAAGCCTAGGAGTCAAGTTTTAGATTGACCAATGTCCACACTTTTGACCAGAGCAAGAAAACGTGAACATTAATATCGTCCGCCATCATATTTTTTTCAATAAATGTTTATAAGTGAATTCACATGTAATTCGTGCATTGCAGCAGGACAAGAATTGAATCACAAGATACAGACAGTAGTGGAGATTCTGAATTCAATACAAAATTCTAAAACACCATAATGAATATACCCCGAGGCGTTCACAGCCTGTGTATCAGCGTGTAATTTAAAATTCACTTAACTTTAACTCGTTTCTGCATTTAGATATAAATTACATATACATATAGACGGCATTAATGTAAGCTGAATATAACAGGTTCAGTCACTAAACACCAAGGCCATCAAGGTACAACAATTAAAAATAACTGGAACGGCAATATAAAAAAATCTGTACACAAATACCAGTGGGCGATTACTTGAATGTTATCCGAATTGACAGCAGCTTTGCAACCAGAAGTGCTCTCTAACAGAGAAGAATAAGTCTTTGCAACAGTCAGTGTAGCCAATGTCTGTCCAACAATAAACGAATCCACTTAGAGGCACATTGTACTTGATATGATTCGTCCAAATGAATGTTTCCACAATTCACTGCTTATGGACTATATCTGACCATTTGATATCATCATAGTTTACGGTGATACAAAATACGAATTTCTTACATCTGATCACTAACTTTGCCAATGTAAGCGTGTGCACATATTTATGTACCGTCTTTTTATATATTACGAGACCAATTTAATAAGGCTCAGCATAAATAATCCGACTCGTATATCCTGCATGTGCTCTGGTAACGCTCGCAAAGCCATTTGGGTATGGTACCATAACATCTTTAAACTAAGCGTATGTTGACATTAAATTCATCCCATTGATGTGCCCTTCGCCATGGGGGAGTTTTAAATGTTTTTTTAGCCTTTTCTCCCCAATGTTTATCCTGACTGTGCTATCAGTGTGTGAGGAGACAAAAACAATCCTCTCCCGATCTCTTGCAGTGCAACCCTTCACGTTCGAGAATGGCCCCACTCAAACGGGTAGCTCGTAACTACTTTGCGAGACCGCTTCATGTGACGTACGCAGAAGCTGCGACAGGGCCCATGGCCGTGTCGTCCTCGTTACCTTCAGCAACCTTTTGCCGGCGTGCCTCTCTGAAGTCGCTCACGCACACGTAGATGCTGATGAGGTAGGAGATCGCTAGCAGGAGCGCAAACGCACCCGCCATGATCTCGGTGGCGTGCAAAACGCATGTGGAGGTGTAATTTCTGCTCGCCAGCATATCGGAGCGATCCTTGCACACCTGCGTGCCGTACACCTGCTCGATGTTGTAGTGCAGGTAAAATGCTACTGCGGGGATCAAACCCAGGCCGTATATGAGACTCACAAGTGCCTCAAAGAGGAGCCAGCCGCATGCCCGCCGCTCAATGTGCAGAAGCCCGAGGACTATGAACAATAACGACAACCCCATCGCAGGCAGAACCACAGCCAGTGTGAGGTTTACTGCTGGCGTCTTCAGCGCATTATACTTCAAATCCAGGTCGTTGAGTCTCTCAGCATCCTTGCCCTACACACAGAGGGTCCACATACTGTTAGCTTGGAGGTTTTTATTACTTCCCACTCTGCAGGCCAGACTTTGAATCCACATCTTTCAAATGGTGTGTGCGCACTGGAAATATGTTAAAAGTATCAAGTAATGAACTATAAATTGATAAGCCACAAATGCTTGTCAGTAATTTTGAGTTGTGCAACCATAGAAAATGATTTTCATGATCTGACATCAACAGTTTGGGCAATTCACCAGCACTGGGTCAAGCAGGCCTGGCTGGTGAGGAGGCACTTCATGTTGAAATCGGTCAAGCATTGGCTTGTGTTGAACCAATGCTGCTGATATTACGCACTCTCAGAATGCCATGTGGCTCATGGGATAAGTAACTAAAAAAACTTCAATGCTTTTCAGTGAATGGAAAGATACGTGAAAGAGGTGTATTGTTGTATTATTTAGCTTGGGAAATGCTGGTCTATGGGGATCTGAGAGGAGAACAAGACCCCCCCACCCACCCCCCTTGTCTGCAACACAAGGTGGTGCTGGCGGACGTGTGAGTACAGGGTGCGTGCAGACTGCGCACCGTGAAGCCGCTGTAGGCGTAACCCAGGCTGTAGTAGTAGACTCCGCCAAGGTCGCCCAGGCTCAGGTAGCCGGGCGAAGCACTCTGCGAGGCAGCTGCAAGGACTGCGGACAGGATGGACAGCAGCACTTGTGTGGCCTGCAGTATCCCTGGTGGAGGGCACAGCCGCCAATAGAATAGAGCAAGATACAATCGTGTCAATAGAACATGCAGCGCAATCGTATCCGGAAATTTATTTGCATGCTACACACTTATGGCTTTGCAGTTATATGGCACATTTTTTTTAAAATTGGAAATTCTAAGCATCATTGATTCATGTTGAGAATTAACAACTCATCTGCAGACAAAAGTTTGGATGCTGATGTTCAGTTTTGATTGGTGACTCAGACATGCTAAGACAATGTTTTATTGCTTTTATCTTTCAGAAATATTCCAATTCTTGTGAGCCGTCAGACATAGAATGGGAGCTTTATTGTACGACACCTTATAGCCACAAGTTGTGGAACCTGGATGATGTGACAAGATTTTTTTTTTCATAGCCATGAATTCCATACCTTACAAAACCACTAGAATAAGCACTATTAAGGAGTGCAGATGAGCAAGTCATTTGGCCCATACCGACATGCAGAATATTTTCAAATCCAGCTCTCAGAAATGGACGATAAAAAAATAACAGCTGAATTTAATGTTGCGCCAGAATACAATAACTCGACGGATGCAATAATCTTGTTAAACACAATAACCTCAACTTGCATGGCTGACCAGAGTTTGAACGTGGCTAAATGCCGGAACATGCATTACTATAATCTAACAAGCTGGAAAGCTGCCTCTCATTTTATTTTTATTGACTAGATTTGCACAACTCTCCACTTAATGGGCACTCCCTGCTGTTAGCAACACACCAGCGAAAATGTGATCATCATTTCACAATATGTTTTCTGCACCTGTGTTTTAGGAAACCAAGCTTCTCGTTATTGAACATTATTTGGTGCTTTATTTTTAATGGGGGACCCAGCTGAGATCAGCAATATGCTACACGAGAACTTGTTTTTATTATTCTGGTGGCCACCTAGGGGCTTTAACCCTGGACCTGCATTGGCTCATCTTCAAAACAGGCATCAATTCCTAGGGACATTAAGTCCTTCCGTGTCCAATGCGGTATTTTTTATATTAAATAAATATCATTATTAATAATCACAGGTAACACTTTTGAATATTTCCTGCAGTAAGCGAATTGGAAGTTTCCTGGATGTGGAGAAATGCAATAGCACACTCATCTTTGCAACGCACAAGCACTTGCTGTTCAAAAGATAAAGGAGATCCCTCTGCAGTGTAATTGATGCTGTGCATGGGTGCATCCAATGTCTTCGCCATAAGGTACATGTGTACAATTGAAAGGCATGCGTCTGTTACAATTTACTGTGTATGGCATTTTCCAAGTGTACTAAAATGGCCTGGGGACATTGTTGGAAAAACCAAACACATTTAAGATGTATCTGGATATTAAATTAACAACACATACGTAAATATATTACATATTGCGTTCCGCCAAGTATCAGACATTACGGCAAAACTGACAACTTGGTGATGTAAACAGGATGAACATGATGATATCTTTTGGAGTATTACAATGTTGAAAGTACAAATATCCAAAAGTAAAAATGGCATTGAGATGTATGCAGGCCTACCTCTCCGCGTGGCCAGGTACTTGAGCTTGGCAAAGTAGTAAGCTGCCCATGACACTTCTTTCTGGTAGTAATACTCCTCGGGGATTGTGGGTGGGTCAGCAGCTACAGGCTCCACGTAACGGCCATTGTCACGATAGGCAGGCGGCTCGGCCCTCTCCCGGTCATTCCTCGGCGGATCTCTGCTCACCCGCTCCCTCTCTGTGTAGTTGTCCTGGTCTCTGTACGTGTCTCGACCACGGTAGTTGTCTTGGTTCCTGTCGTAGCCTCGGTCTCGGTACTGGTCTCGGTATTTGTCTCGGTCTCTGCCCACGTCTTGGTCCCGGTAGCCATCTCTGTCGCCGTAGGCGTCTCTGTGCCCGTAGTCGTCTCTGCGGTAGTTCTCTCGGTCTCCATACTTGTCCCGGTCTCTGCGCACATCTTTGTCCCGGTAGCCGTCTCTGTCGCCGTAGTCATCTCTGTTCCGGTAGGCATCTTTATCTCGGTCCCTGTACTTGTCCGAGTTCCCATGTGCGTCTCTGTCCCGGTAGTTTTTCTGGTCTCGACCTCTTGCACTCTTACCAGCGTACTCCGTCATGTTTCTAGAGGTTGCGTTTTCAAAAGATAATGGTCACAGCTCAAATTATCTAAACAATAATTGTGGAGTAGGTGCTTCTTCAAATAATTTAACAGGTTTTGATTCATTCGCATAAATCAAAAGCACATGACTCGCATAAAGAAAATAAGACATACATTTATAGGACATTGTAACATTTTAAGTTTGGATGAATAGGGGCAGTCCATCACTAAAAAGTCTACGTATTTCCCAATGGCTAGTACACTGTTCACTGAGCCAGTGTGGATATACAGTACAGTCGTAAACGATTTGATTCATTTAGCATCCTTGTAATAGTAGTTTTGTTGTGGTTGATTCATAATAACATTGGATTTTATTCACATATGATGACCTATTGAGACAAAATCTCTATTTAAAGGGTGACCTGGATCAACAAGTTATTTAAAAAAAAGTATAGTATCTATATACATGTATAAGGGAATTACCAAGGAAAATGCAGTTACACATCAGCATTAAACACAACGATCAATACCTGTAACAATGCTGTGCAGATGCTATAACCCACATAATATTTAAGTTAAAAAGTCAAAAGTGACTAAATGCACATCTTCCTTGTCAGTTCTGAGCCAATGGTGTAAATTCCACGTTTGTATGGCAGAGTGGGTTAACTGTTGGTTTTTCATGAAGGGCCGCTCACGTGGGTAGGACGATGTGCGAAGTTCATCGACTGGGAATTAAATCAAATAGCCACTCAACCAAAATTCCACTTGCCAACATTTTAACTACAGAAACCGTACATTTCAAAAACACGTTTTTAATATACATTGTTTCTACACACCGAATAGTCTTCAAGACAAGAATGTCACGTGCAAACATTTACACCCAACTGCAGTTTGGCAATACAAAGCTAAATCTGGCATGTGATCAATTACATGTCATAATCTAATCACATGTACTCATGGGGTCTGACAGTACTTCCATTATAGCAGTTTATGGTTTTACAGTTATTATGCAATCTATTTTCATCCAGTGTTTAAAAATTGATTCTTGCCAAGGAAACAAGACCAGATATAGTCATGATGATTTTCCTCTGAAGCTAAATAACGATCATGGATATTTTTTCTGCAGTACAGCGATTTATCCTAAAGAGTGAACAACTGCGAGTGTGGAAATGCAACTCAAAACTACGGCCCATATGTAAACTCCTACAATCTGCACTCCCTTCAACGAAGGAGGAATAACAAAACTTAAACGAACTATCTCCCGAAGCCCCTCTCTTCGTGGTTAGCAGATATCGACATTGGCTTTTAGCTCCTAAAAATATTGCCATACGCATGAATAGAAAGCACCTAATAAATATGGTCAAACCCACAAGCCGTTTCATACATTCTGTACAACTTACAGGAGTACATAGTTCCGGCAAACTTGTTTCCTGTTAATGTAGCAGGTTAAGACTCAACTGCAAGGGATAACAATCGAAGAGCATCAATGTGAATTTTAGGTTTTGGTTACACAAGCGTTCCCTGTTCTGTAACATTTACAATACGGATCAGACTGCTGGCGTCATTAAAACTGTCCTGTGGTTTGAGTGGCTGGGTTATATTTATGACAAGTCAAATGTCAAATGCACCAGGGTCTGGGTATTCATTTATTTATTATAAGACGGTATAACTCAGCCACTCATAAACTACTGTTACAGTACAGTATGTATTTTGCTTACCTTTCCTATACTTTGCACTCAAATCGTTTTCTTTATATTTTTTGTTAACTTTTTGACATCGGATTTCTCTAGGATAAATAAACGTTCTGATTCTGAGTATGTAAAAACAACAACACACAAGGGGATCCCATGCTCCTAAACACATTCGGGTCAGCTACATTCTAATGACCTAAACCAAAGGTTGAAATTCCACATTCTTATGGCGGGGTCTAGACGAACCATAGAATTCTAGATTTGAAGCTGCATCACTTGATACAGCAAATCTGGCTGTGACGGTCCCACCTGATGACGGAGACTTGTGTTGCCTCCGAAACGTCGTGATTTTATTGTTTTATTTTTATTAATTTTTATTTAATTTTTTACCTACGTGACTTTACCGAAAGAACTAAGAGTATGAACATAGAATTCACATTCCGAGCAGCATTCGTAGTGGAAACCCACAAAAAAAGCAAAAATATTTTGCTTCTACTGTCATGTACAGTGGCTAGTTTACTTGTAAATTCACTGGTGAGTTCTTATCAACAACCCAAGCCTGCCCCCTTTAACAGGTTTGCCCGAGTCGTCATCAACATTCTTCACAAAAACCTGTTTAATGTTCATGACATTCTGTGTTACACCTTCCTCCCGACACCACCCCAAACCACCACCACCCCAAACCACCACCCCCCCAAACCACCACCACCACCCCAAACCACCACCACCCCAAACCACCACCACCATCCCAAACCACCACCACCATCACAAACCACCACCACCCCAAACCACCACCACCACCACCCCAAACCCACCACCACCCCAAACCACCACCACCCCAAACCACTACCACCACCCCTGGCAACACCGGCGACACTGTCAGCCACATGTCACGTTTCACAGTTCGCTGCGATCATTTTTGACGGAGTTTAAAAAGCTATAGATTCTTCTTGGAACTCTACCGGGCAGTACGTTCCACTGGGCGAAGACATGCTTGCGGCAACTCCGTCCCTCGGCTGGCCTGGGAACGCTTGGGAATTCCCCCCAGGAAGAGCTAGAGTGGAGTATATAGTAGTATATAATGTAGTGTATAGTGTAGTAGTGTATATTAATGTAGAACTATCGTCTGTCGCCAAGGAAAGGGAGGTCTGGACCGCCACGACTGAACATGCTGCCGCCACGACCCTCACCAGGCGAAGCATATTGAGACACAAACGAACGATAGGAGTCACTAAGCAGGTGATGAGCCTGGTTTAATAGTGGTGGATGGGTGATCACCATGCGCACCAAACATGTTTTCACAGGCTACTTTGGCGCTACGTTAGGGCCAGTGTAACAAGATTAATTGCTTATGCTCCACCACCCCACTCTTCTTCAATCACCCAAACTGACCAGCTTGGTGAAGTATGGTCAACTAACCCATCCCTCACCTACCATGACCAGCAGGACGTGAAGACGGTCTCTCATTCGCGCGATTTGGCTACGTACGGTGTGAAAGAAGTTCAACATGAGATGCGTACACATACGTCCGGCAGTGGATTGGCTATTGACGTCTGCCGTCCGGGTGGCCCTTGTTAAAGGAGCTTCCTAGTTCAATGGCCTTTACCCACTGGGAAGTGAACTTCTGATCTGACCGATGTTAGACGATCTACGGTGCTGGAGTCTTGTCCCGCCTGTATGCACACTGCCCCACCAGAGTGGTGAAGTATGGCCAAACTAACCCCATCATCGTCAGCCACGAGGGCACGAAAGCGACACGCTTCGAGACTTTGTTGTTTCCGGAGTTCGTCAACGCAACACTGATGGCGGAAAACGCAACAACAACAACGCCACCACCACCACCACCAAGACTGTGGTTGTGGCGTGTGGCACACTCAGCCCGCAGAGTTTAGTCAAACACACACACACAGCCAAGACACTCCATTAACAAACACAATGGGTTTACACCAAACTCTATTCGGTGTGGTTTCAGCTTCGTTCATAAAGTCACTTTAAGATGTTTTCTTGTTCATGTTTTTTGTTTGTTGCGGTTGCAACCGATTCAAGAGCCCAATGGCTCACAGGGCTACACCAAATAAATGAAAACAAATGAAACAAACCGCTAGGGAGGAGAAAAAAAAAGAATCACTGCCATTGTCTGAGATGATGGCGCACGATGGGCCCCTTCTCGCCCACGAGTGGAACGATGGCCCACGGGTCTTGTTTGGACCACCAATATTTATCAACCACAACTACAACCGATAAATAACCCCACGCCACGACAAACGAACAGTGCAAGTGGGCCTGAATCAGACGGTGGCCTGGAACGAACCTCAGAGATCCAAGCCGGAGTGAAAGAAGCCTCGGAGTTTCCTCGACACGGCCACCGACTCGCCCACACCACCACCAGGTGCTCCCACCCCCCCAGGTGCCTGCCACTGACGCTGCCCACGGAAGGCGATGTCCGCAGCGAAGACGGCACCGAAGGTTTTAACCCGTGAGATGATGGGCACGACAGACGTAACCACGGTGGTGGTGTTGTTGTTCTTCGTGTTGTTGTTGTTGATCGAAGGGATATCAGCCGAGTCGGTCGCAAGACGGCACCTAGGAAGTCTTCGCTGCACCTGGGACGCGGCACGCCTCTCTGGCTCCTCCCCCCCCCCGCATCCCCCCCCCGGCTCCCCCCCCCTGGCTCCCCCCCCGGCCCCCCCCCGGCTCCCCCACCCCCTGGCTCCCCCCCCCCGCATCCCCCCCCCTGGCCCCCCCGCATCCCCCCCCCGGCTCCCCCCCCCGGCCCCCCCCCCGGCTCCCCCCCCCCGCATCCCCCCCCCCGGCTCCCCCCCCCCTGGCCCCCCCCTCCCGGCTCCTCCCCCTGCACCCCGAAGTAAAGTTCCCCCGTGTAGCCTCGCCAGGCTGCTGAGGAAAGTGCGGTGAGCGAGGAGCATGAAGGCCGGCACGGCTGCCCCGTGTTGATGGTTTTCCACGGTACCGGGCACTCGGTTTTTGGTTTTTTTAAAGGCCGAGTCGACCTAGGGGCGGCCCACGACGGGTTCAGAGATTCGCTGTCACTGTTATTGGGGTCGTGAGCGAGAAATGGAATTCGGGGCGCGCTGGGTTCACAGAGCAGTCCCCCTACCACCACTGCGCCATCGCTCCAATTAGGGGCCGTCCATAAATGACGTCACGCGATTTTGGACGATTTTTTACCCCCCCCCCCCTTCATCACACGGCGTCACAAAAAGTCAGACCCCCCCCTCAAATATGACGTCACAAAGCTCTGCCCCTCCCCCCCAAAAATAAAACATGCTTCAAATCGCTTTAAACTATTGTCATGGTAATGCGTATTTAATGTGGCGCTGCACTCTGATGTTGTAGGAGAAAACATTTATTAAAATGTCTATTTAATTAACTAGAACGTTTCGTCTATATTTATTTAAAGTTGATCATTTTGATGTGACGTCACATTTCTCAACCCCCCGCCCCCTTGTCACACATCGTCACACATTTCTGACCCCCCCCCCCCCAGGTGCGTGACGTCATTTATGGACGGCCCCTTACACATTTGAGCGCAGAGATATTGTCATTCACCTTTGGTTCTTTCGGTAACGTCACGTAGATAGAAAAAAAATAACTAATAAATCACGACGTTTCGATAGCAACACAAGCTATCGTTCTCAGGTGAAAATAAATAAATAAAACAGCAGGCGGACTAATGAGGAGGAAATGTAGCGAGAGAGCTATGACAACCAAGGGTTATACTGGTAGGAACCTCCTGGTTACTGTGGTGCCACAACGACGGGGCCGCTCTGCCGAACCAGGGAGCCGCCCGGCTTCCCCCACCGCACTGCCCCCCATCACCCGCCCCACATAAGCACACACCCGCACGCATTCCCCCCCCCCCATAGAGCTGGAAGGGAAGGTCACCTGATCGACCGGTTTTTATCCGAGAGACCCTTATCGGGATTAATTCTCACGGTTTCCGGCGATCAGGGAATTGGATGACCTCCCCGTGCTACGTGGCACCGCGGCGCTGCGGCCGGCCTTAATATGGTAGGTCGTGGCGTGGGGCATTCGGCCACCGCGGTTGAGGCGCATTTCCCCCCACACACACTCCCACGGGTCGACGGGGCGAGCAGGGGAGGCACGGGACAGCATGAATAGCGGGGTCACAGGGGCTGTTGCGCATAGTCATGGAGGGTTGGGATAATTGCGCTTGAGCGCGCAAGCCCCATTGGTAGGAAGGGTAAGGGAGTAATTAGGATTTACGCCTTGCACGCAGCACACTGATTAGCATATCAACAGCGCCTGGGGACTGCCGTGCGCGGGCTTGGGGTGCACGAGCCCATTGTTCAGCGCAGCATCCCCTTTGGGAGGTAGGGAGGATAAATAGAGGAGCGCAGAGGGGAAATCGCTCTCTTACTCCAGCGCCAGGCGACCAGACGCAGCTCGAGCCAGCGACCCGGACGTCCGTGCGACGCACCGAGGCACGCGGTTAACAGAAGGATCAGCGGACCGCCGTGGACACTTAACAGTGAGTAAGAAGGGGAATTAGAATCATAGCCGATAAATAGGGAATAGGTACAGGTTTAGTGGAATAGGCCAGCCTCGTCGACTCACTGATTCAACATCAATTCGCAGGTGGCATATAATAAATCATTAATAGCGAAGCGTGGTCTCGCGTGATCTTGTCGTGCAGTGTGAGCGTGTGGGTGCGCTGTGTGCACAGTGGTTCGCCACGTGAGTGAGCGCTGCGCGGAGCTGAGCGCGCGGGTTGCGTGTGGGAACGCGTGTGGTACTGTGTGTGCGTAAGCTCGCGGCGTGCGTAATCGGCGTACCCCAGGTGCGCGATTGTAACGTGAGCGGCCAGCGCGGCGCAGAGAAGCGCAAGAGTGAGTGCCGTACAGAGCTGTGTGTGTGGGTGTGCGCGTACGTAATTAACCATGCCTGCTACGCGGACCCGCGGTGGAGTGGAACCCTCGGGCGACGGCTCCCACACCATGGGTGAGGAACTTAGCAGCGGTTCGCTTAGCAGCGGGGGGGCGATTGATGATGCTAGCCCGGCCGTTAGCATTATCGAGGGAGGGATTTCGGGGGCTAGCGACCCCCACAAATTGGTGTCAGAAGCGGTACGGACCCCCGCGTTACCTCACGCTAAAATAAGACTAATATTTACCGGCCGGGGGGCCCCTTCGTGGAAGGCATTCGCCCGCAATCTCTTAGGGGCCAAGGAAATTAATGGATGGACGGACGCGCAGGCAGTACGTCAACTTAATATGAATCTTGATGGGCGGGCAGCCGATTTTGTAGAAGCGTTACCCGCGAGCGCACAGACACAGCTAGAGGAGCTGATGCGCCGACTCGATCAGCGTTTTGGCACGCGTGACGAGGAGGAAGCAAAATCGGCCTTAGAGGCGCGCCGGCGCCAACCTGGCGAAGATCTACGTGATTACGCCGAGGATGTGCGTGAGTTAACAAAGATCGCACGCCCGGGGTACGCAACTGATGTTATTGAGGAACTGGCCGCCGAGAAAATCCAGCGGTACCTGTCTCGCACGGCGTGGTGGCAGCCAGACATGAGCTGCCCACGTCTTCCGTTTAACACCCTTGTCGAGCGCGCACGTAAGTGTGAAAGAATTCACAGCGAACGCGCGCAGCTCCGGGGGCTGGGACGAGAGCGCGCCATTGCGAGCCTGCTCTCGGAAGACGAGGAGGAGGGACAGGAGCTCGCGAGGACGGTAAGGGGCCGGGAAAGAGAGCCACAGAGACCCAGCGAGACGACCCCGGGGTGGGTAGCCGGGTTACAGGCCGGCATGGGAGATATGATAACCCAAGTAGGTGAGAGGGTAACTCACGTAGGTGAAAGGGTAACCCAGGTACGCGAGGAAGCAAATAAAAATATGACCAAACTGCAATCCTCCGTTGAGACCATCCGATCCGAAATGGGGGACCTACGCGCCACGGTGGGAGGGTTATCTGGGAGGGTAGCCCGACTAGAGGCGGAGGGTGGACAGCGGCGTAATGGGGGGGGAGGGAGCGGACAGGGGACCCGCTACGGAACCGCCCCCCCTCCCCGGGCATGTTATATGTGCGATCGCCGAGGGCATCTAGTGAGGGACTGTCCTGAAATCACCCGAGCGAGACAGACGCGGGGGTTAAACTCCAACGCCCCCTAGAGAGCGGACCAACTAGGGGTGCAATCGACGCGGTCCCGATACAAATGGACGATAATGAGAATAATGGCGAGCGAGTGATCTCCACACAGGTTCCAGCAACAACGCCCACGGAAACGGTGACTCCTGGCGACTGGCTACGGGAGCTGGTGGCGGGGATCACGGGGGCCACGTCGCTGGTGGAAGGGGAGGTTAACGGAGTGCGTACCCGAATCCTGCTGGACACGGGGGCGGTGGCCTCGCTCGTGAGCGCAGCGCACTGCAGCGCGATCGGGGTCGACGTGCGTCACCTGCAGGCACCGGACCGCGCGCTGCACACGGCGAGCGGAGCCGGAATGGGGCTGCTGGGGAGAGCCACCCTAGAGGTCCGCATAGGCAGTCAGGTGTGCACCCAGGAGTTCTACGTGTCGAGTGCGTTGTGTCACGAGTGTATCGCAGGTACCGACCTCTTAGAACGGCTGGGACTCAACGTGCAACCCCGCCAGCGATGCGCCACCATGGAGAGCAACGGCGAGCGGATACCGTTCCTGGGACGAGAACCGACGCGCCGCCGCTTTGCACCTGTGGCCGCTATCCTGACGACGGCAGTCACCATCGGCCCGCTCACCGAGATGCTGGTGCCGGTGGCAACATCCCCCACCGACCCCGCGCTCCGACCATCAGGGGAGGTAATGCTAACTCCTCACCCGGAGTTGGCAAAACGGTATGGGGTTGTGGGATCCGCCACGTTGGTAAACGCAGATGGGGACCGATTGTTTATGCGGATGTTTAACCCCCACAATACCCCGCGATACTGCGACGGCGCACCCCGATAGCCACAGTACACCCCCTGCACGCACGCCACTCTAACGACTCGGTGTTCGCACTCTGGGCTGAGGACCCCGGTCGTCCTGAGGGTGAGCAGGACCTGGCCTGGCGAGTCGGCCCGACTCCCCGAGCCGAGGTCGTTCCCCTGCTCGACGCGTTACATGTACCATGGGCGGACTTACCTAAGGGAGAGGCCGATCGGCTGCGCGAGTTACTGCGGGAGTATGCCGACGTGTTCAGCGAACACGACTCGGACGTGGGTCGGACCGACCTTGTTAAGCATCAAATTGACACCGGTGCAGCCCGACCCATCAAACTCCCTGCGTACCGAGTGGGCGCACCCGAACGCGTCCAAATCAAAGAGGCAGTTGGGGACATGCTTCGCGATAACATAATTCAGCCCTCGGCGAGCCCCTGGTCAGCCCCGGTGGTACTAGTAACGAAAAAGGATGGGTCAACCCGATTCTGCGTCGATTACCGTAAACTAAACGCAGTCACGCTCGGCGATGCCTTCCCCATACCTCGCATCGACGACACCTTCGACAGTCTCGCAGGAGCGCGGTATTTTTCCACCCTCGATCTGGCGTCCGGTTACTGGCAGGTGGAGATGACGGAGGAGGATCGGCCAAAAACAGCATTCAC